TTTTTCTTGCCTTATTGCTCTAGCTAGAACTTCCAGCACAGTGTTAAATAGGAGTGGCGATAAAGGGCATCCTTGTCTTGTTCCTGTTTTCAAGGGGAATGTTTTCAGCCTCTCCTCATTAAGAAGGATGTTGGCTCCTTCAGCACTTTTCCTTTGCATTCACAACTTGGCTAACTGTTTGGCACACGAGGCCTAGCTTTCGGCCTATCTCGACTTTCAACATGCCTTCCTCACTAAACTTAATTATTTCTAGCTTTTGATTTTAAGTGAGAGATACGCGACTCTTCTTTTCACTTGAACACTTACAGGCCATTGTAGGGCTATTAATTGGCCTAATTTCAATATTGTCGTGTCTCAGGGAATAGGGAGGCCCGAAGAGAGGGAGAGGGATGGGGCCGGTCAGTGGAGTAGTCAGAACCCACACAACCTTTATTTGTTAAGTTCACTGTCTTATATGGACACAGTTCATAGTGCCCCACAACAACTACAACAGCAACATCAAAGATCAGTCATCACAACTCACCATAACAGATAAAATAATAATGAAAAGGTTTGAAATATCGTGAGAATTACCAAACCGTGACACAGAGACATGAAGGGAGCACGTACTGTTGGAAAAATGGCGCTGATAGACTTGCTCAATGCAGGGTAGCCCACAAACCTTCAATCTGTAAAAATTGCCATATCTGTGAAGCGCTAGAAAGCGAGGCACAATAAAACGAGGTATGCCTGGATATGTACTTGAGGAAAATTGTCGCCAAGCGCTAGAGAAAAATGGCATTTATTTTCTTTCTGAATATTAACTTGGAGAAGTTATTCTCCAGGTTCAGTCTCCAGTATTCTGGAATAAATGGACAATCAAGCAAAGATATGAAGTACCCAGATGACTTTCTTTAAACCAGGTGTGTGCCTAAGTGTTTGGCACCTTTGAAACTCTGAGTGTGAAAAAGTGACACAGGGTAAGGTTCCTGCTAGCTGATAAAGTGACTGCGCCTTTGGCTTTTAAAGCCCTAGCCCAAGTTTCACGGTGAGCTAAAGCAAGAAGGTTTACATAACTTGCTTTACATTTCTTTAAGGAATGTAATAGTAGCCCCAATAGAAGTAGAATTTTTTTTTTTATTGTACTTTAGATGAAAGTTTACAGAACAAATAGTTTCTCATTAAACAGTACGCATATTGTTTTATGACATTGGTTAACAACTGTATGACATGTCAAGACTCTCTCTTCTCGACCTTGGGTTCCCTATTATCAGCTTTCCTGTCCCCTTCTAGTCCTTGCCCCTGGGCTGTTGTGCCCCTTTAGTTTGGCTGAAGGGTAAAACTCAGGAGTGACTTTATTACTGAGCTAAAAAGGTATCCGGGGGCCGTACTCTTGGGGTTTCTCCAGTCTCTGTCAGGCCGGTAAGTATGGTCTTTTTTTGCGAGTTAGAATTTTGTTCTGCGTTTTTCTCTAGCTCTGTCTGGGACCCTCTATTGTGATCCCTGTCAAAGCAGTTGATGGTGGTAGCCAGACACCATCTCGTTGTCCTGGACTCAGTCTGGTAGAGGCCTTGTTAGCTGTGGTCCATTAGTCCTTTGGACTAATCTTTTCCTAGTATCCTGTTCTCTTCACTCTCCCTTGCTCCGGAACGGAAAAGACCAGTGGAGTATCTTAGATGGCTGCTCACAGGCTTTTAAGACCCCAGACGCTACTCACCAAAGTGGAATGTAGAACATTTTCTTTATAAACTATGTTATGCCAATTTAGGTAGATGTTCCCCAAGACTGTGGTCCCCACAGTCCTCAGCCCAGCAGTTTGGTCCCTCAGGGAGTTTGGATGTGTCTATGGAGCTTCCATGACCTTACCCTGAACAAGTTGTGCTGGCTTCCCCAGTATTGTGTACTGTCTTACCCTTCACCAAAGTTACCACTTATCTATTGTCTATTTAGTGTTCCTGGCTCCAACAGTCAATTCTATTTCTAAATACTAAATAGAAATAGAATTGACTGTTGGAGCTGGGAACAAAATTGTGATCTGACTTTGAGTTCTGAAAAGTTATGTAGCTGCAGCTAAAATATATTTCCAGAAAAACGTTCCTGCCACACGTTTTCATGCTACGGTATTTTCCAGCTTTGTTTTTTGTGTTAATAATACTGCTGTGTGCAGCTGGTGTTTGCTTCTCACCCTTTTTGAAGTTCAGATTCAGTCTCAGGACCACTATTGTGTGGGGTCAGCGCCTGTGCAGGGTTCAGGCCTTTAATTTCTTTCTCTCCAGAAACATGTTTCTGTTTAGAGTAGAAGCTTGAGCCTGAGAAAATTCTACTTACCTTTGCCATGGAAGAGGGTGAATAAGGAAGTGGTGAAGTCACATTTCTCCTTGCCTGAACTGGACTTGTTTATCTGCCAGTGCTGGGCACCCAGAGTTTCTGTTCAAGGGGAGCAGACATATGCTGGGGAGTGGGGGTGCAGGGCTTGAGGAGGGGTGTTGCCTGGGAGGAGGAGAGATGTGGACTCTTGAAGAGCTTCGCCTTTGATCACTGATGCAGATGATGCCCGCATCGGATGTGTAAATGAGAGTATTCATCAGTGTTGTGAGCCCCTCCTTCCCCAGGTCTTTATTTTTACGTAGTTGTTAAAATCAAAGTGCTCAGCTTTTAATTAGGGAGAGGAAGTTCC